GACTTCTTTGCTAAGCTACATCTGGACTACACTGACTACACCTAGCACCCACTTGAAATAGACTTGAACTGCGCTTGAAGCACACTTGCATTACACGTGATCGGTACATGAGCTACACTTGAACTACATTTGAACGACACTTGCATTTCACTTGAGCTATTTCTGAGTTGCCGAGACTGCACTTGAAGTGCACCCGAGCTACACCACAACTACATTTGACCTGCACCTGGACCACACTTGAGTCACACTTGAACTACATGTGAAGTACACTTGCGCGACACTTGAATTTCACTTGGAGCGCCCTTAAACTACACATGCAATGCAAGGGCTATGACTGCACCACGCTTGAACTACACCTGCGCTACACTCGAGTCACACTTGAACTACACTGGATCTAGTCTTGAACTACACTTGAACTACACCTGCACCACGCTTGAAAGACGCATGCGCTGCAAGGCTTACACCTGGACCACACGTGCACTACGCCTGAGCTACATGCGAACCAAGATTGAACTACGCTGGAACTGCATTTTAACCACATTTGGACAACACTTGCATTACACTTGGGCTACAAGGGCTACACCTCAAAAGCACTCGGAACGCCTGGCCTAACTTGAAGTAGACTTAAATTACACTTGAAATACGCTTGTGGCTTCAGTTGGACTTCGCGGCAACTACACTTGCACTACAATGGCTACGTCTGAGACACACTTGAACTACACCTGGGCTACACTGGAACTACACTTTCGCGCGCAAGCGGGCGACGCTTGAGCGCCTGAACCAAAACCTTGGATTACGCCAGGACGTCCCGTGCTGCAGCTGCGCTCCACACGCGGCACTGCGGTGTCTCGTGCTTTGCATGCGCGAGGTTGCGACGTTTCCTGCGCCGCCGTGACGCGCAAGGCCCAGTGCTTCGCCGTCACCTGCAATCGCGGCTAAGCTGGTTCAGCGACGCGGATCCAATGTGCACCCACAGTTTTTCTGGATTCGGCACCACCTTAACATGCGCGGTGTTTGCCATTACTTTGGCATTTGCGCGCTTGTTTTTTAAGCCGCCCCCCCAGACTGCCCCACTGTTTCTGCAGAGCCAGCCATCGCGCGCGCGCGCGCCCGCGCGCCGCGGACACTGCGCGCAACGTCCCACTTGCTGGCGCGACCAGAGATGGCAAGCATCTGGCCACATGCATTATCAGTGTTTGCAGTTGCTTGTGCCATGTAAGGCGGCGGCAATGACGACCGTTGGAGATCACCCGCTGCGCTCTTCAACGTGGAAGAACCACTCCGCACCATGCGAGGGTAGGGTGCGTGGTTGTTGCTCGATGGCGCGCCCTGTTGTGTGAAGGCATATTGTCTGCTAGCTGGAGCGCCGCATCCCCACGCCTGCCCGCCCACTTGGGCGGCCCCTACGGAGTGCGTCTCATGTGCCGCGAGTGAGACTCTGAGGAGCACATCGTGATCGACTGCTCTCGGCGCCGCCAGCCAGGGCGCGCCCTCCTCCTCAACCCCCGAGCCTCAGCAGCGCCACCGCCGGCACCGACGTCCTCGCAACTTGCGCATCTGGGACGACAGGGGGCGCGTGGACCAGGCGCTCAGCACCGCGTGCCAGTCGCGCGCGCGGTCTGGTTTGCAAGGGGCACCTCTGGAACTCCTTAACCCATGGTTGGGGGCCCAGCGATGGTGGCGCCATGCTGGGCGCGACCTTTGGGAGGCGGACGACCGACTCCCGCGACGGAAGCTCCGCGGCCAGCCACGGCAGCAGCGCCGAGTGCGTCGTTTGACGGCGAGTGGCAGGCAGTGGGCCGCAGCGCTTGGACGAGCTGTGCAAGGACTTCATCCTCCGCGTCCTCTCCCAGCAGGCGCAAGGCCAAGCTGCGGCGACTGCGTCGAGACATGGCCGAGCCCATGCGCCGAACACTGCAAGGCTCTGCTCAACCTGCGGGCCCGGCAACTGCGTTGCCGACCCGCGCGGCAGGAGCGGGGGCGCAGCTCCAGCCGCGCATGCCACGCCTGCAGCTCTAGCAGCAGCACCGCCACCACCGCTACCGACACCACCACGTTGGACCGGCGTGGCCAGCGCCTTCCCGCTGGGGCGAGCTCGAGGGCGCGATTGCGTGAGCGACAACCCACGAGTCGCCGCGCCCGCGACTCCGCCTGCCGACATGCAGTTGCCGATCTGGGTTTACACGCCATGATTCTTAGCCCTCCACGCGGCCGCCGCTGTCCGCGCTGGCAGCAGTGTCAACGCCAATGCTGGAGTCTCGCCACGATCTGGCCTAATTCAATCAGAACGCCCCCATCGACGTGGGCCAGCCGACAGGGAGAGTATCCGCGTGGTTCGCCGGCCGCGAGACCTGGATGTCGAGCGGCGGCCGATGGGAACGCAGCGCGGGCGCCACTCTCGACCGCGCGCAACGACGCCACCTCGAAACGGCAACCTGGCGAGCAGCGACGCCGGGCCGCGCAGAGTTGGATACGCACCCCACTAATCCTCCTCCCGCTGCAGCCGCAGCGCTTTTTGCTTCCGCCCCATGGCCATTTCTGCCTGCGAAGACGGGGGGGGGTCCTATCTGCCACCAGGCCTCTATACATGGCGAGAGGCGCACCTGCATTGCCGCCACATCTTGCACTTGGCATGTCATTTGCAGCTGATGCAGAGCATCGGCACTCACGTGGTGCTCTGTTCTGTACCGGAGCCCAGCCGACGTCACCGCCGACGTTCGCTTCAGCGCCGCAAATAGGTTCTTCGCGGGCCCGGCGCCAACGGCGCCGGTCCGCGCGGCGGGCCCTGGCCCAGCGGGCCCGGCGCCCATGGCGCCGGCTCGTTCGGCGACAGAAGACGGCGCGCCTGAGGGGCTCCACCGCGGAAGGACCTCGCGCAGGGCGCCTCGGCCCGCGCCGGCGCCTGGGACATCGCGGCAGAACCTAATGCTGTCACCAGGCAGCGCTTAACGTTGCCGCTGATGTGGCGGTGCCCTGCGATGCCCGCCTGGACCTACTCGCGCCGCCGCGCCGACGTCCGTGCCCACGGTGGCCGACCTTGTCAGATACAGGCGCAAGTTCACGAACCAACTCCCTTTATTGTCTGGCGAACACCGACTTCCCAGGCGGCCAGTTTTGGCGTCGTCGTCGACACCGGCGCCTGGGCCAACTTGTGTAAGCCACGATTTGCCGTGAACCTGGCCAGCTAGTGCCCTCTAAGCTGCAATGCCCTGCCCCTTTGTTAGTTCTGAAAGTGAGCAATAAAGCCCCTGCAGCTGATCTATAGAGAGCTGCAGCTCGAATAGCACAGCACTCCTTCGAGTAACATTACAAGGGTAACAGCGATACAATAAGCATTGATTAGGATGCGCGCCTACGTGCGCACGTTGCAGGACTCATTGTTGAAGTTGCTCTAGCAACACGCAGGTCTTACGCAATGCTTGCAACACGAATATCAAGCCCAATCGGCCAACTACATACATCTTAATTGCATCAAAATAGCTTCCTAAAATAACTCAAATAAGGCGAACGCCGCGCGTGATTTTCGGACCAGCGGTTGGCCAACCGCTTCGCTGGGATTTTTCGGGGGGGCGCAGTCTGCGCCGTGGAAGCTTTTCGGCCCCCGGGTCCGTCTTGGGCGCGGTCTGTCTACCGAACTCTCCCGACGAAGCTCGGGTGAACCATCTTGGGAACGTCTGTGTGGGCCTTGGGGCCATCTTGAGGATGTTTGGGCGTTCTTGGGTCGTCCCTGACACCATGCGTCGTGGATTTCGTGACTGGATTGTGTTGGTCACTTTGTGTTCGGGCCTCAGAAAGACGAGGGTCAATGCAAGCGAGAGTGCTCCATCTCGCAGGATCCTGCAGAGCTGGGGGTGCATTGACCCGGGCGTGCGTGCAGGATCTTACAAGACCTTGCAAAGACCGACTGTCCCAGGTTTGGATTGACCCGGGTCAGTAGATCCCTGATCGGTTCCCGTCGACCTTCACCAGCCCCCGGGACCGTAAAACATTGTTTGCGTGGAAGGCGTCCAGGCCTCTTGGGAACGCTGTGAAAGGAGGCGATGTCGGACGTCTGTGGTCTGAAGGGGACCTCGTGCAGTCTACGGGCCGATTGGCGGCTCTTTCGAGGCCGTTCTGGCCGGTTGGAGAGATCATTGGGGGTTTTCAAGGGTTGCCCAGAGTCAATACGAGGCCGGAAAACACTAGAAGCAAACAGGTTGGTTTGAGTATTGTTTTGATTGGCTTCGCTGGAGACTTCTTCTTCTTCTTCGTATTAGTATTATTTTATCATTATTATTACACGACCGTCTCTTCGGAGTTTCCACGTGTCTTTTGGGATATTCTGGACAGGTGCTGGAACCTTTGGGGGGTCGCTGGGCTGGCTTGGGCTGGTCTCCGCGCAAATCGCAGCAGGCTCGGGGCGGCGTTTGGCAATTTTGAGGTTCAGCTTGAAGGCCAGACCAGATGCCGGAGAGCAGAATTTATAGGCTGCGTTCGAGGACCTTTTCATTGAGGGAGGGTCGGCCTTAATAACTCACAGAAGTTGTACGAGACAACCAACAAGCCGTCTAACATTCCACAATCGTGCAGGCGCGGTGGCGGATTCATCCTTTGTCACAGCTTTCTTTGACTGTCAGGGGGTGAATGCTTATTGCGAGGGGCCCTTGTTGCTTCTGAAGGATGATTTTTTCGACACAGCGGCAGTGCCTTTCTTTTGTGCAGCCGCCATAATCGTGACTCGCATTCCCGCAGCAATCATCACACTTGTGTGGCCTGCGCCGAAGTTAAGTTCTTTTGGGCAGGGTTTTCGCCAAGATGTAATGTTCTTCCTGCGTTTAGCCAGCGCTGGGTTCTTGGTACTACCATTCAGCTTCGTGCTTGCGGATTGGATCATGCTTTCGAAGTACAGTTGGGGTGTCACCAACCTATTTCATACGTTCGGCAATTTCGTTCAAACCATCCTGGACGACCTGCTCGTCATTATCACAAGCGCTGAGAGGCTGCTTCAGGTGGCTGCGAGCATGGAGGAAGCCGGGTTCGGATCGGTCCCGGACGCGAGCGTCCTTGACAGCATTCTGGAGTACGAGTCCCAGGTACGCGGTTACACCCAGCTCGGGGTGGATTTGTTGGCAACTATTGTCTTTGTGAGGCTCGCCCTCAGCTTCATCACGCTGCTGTGCGTGGTCGTGTGCCTCTCCTACGGCGTCGCAGGCCTGGTGCGCCGCTCCCCAGAGTGTCTACACACGTCGAGCCAGGCGAGCATCGTGGCGCTGGCGTTTGTCTTGTGGCTCCTGGGGTACAGCGCCTTCTTCCACGACCTGTGGCTCGATACCTACACGACCTACCTCAGCGTCGATGGCGTTGTGACCTTGTCAGGCGAAGGCACGCAGCCCCTGGCTGTCACCTTGCTGTCTGGATGCTCCGCCAACTCGCAGGCCACCATCCCGATCGCTGCGCTGACCGCGCCGCTGACGTCGGTCTTGGGGAACTTAGGCGCGGCGACGCTGACTAATTTTGCTGACGCGCCCGTGTCCGCTGAGGATGTGCAGAGGTTTGCCCAGGAGGTCGAGGTGCAGTTGGAGTCGTTGCAGCACTGGATGTCTCAGAAAGACGCTCGGCCCGAGGAATTCGGCATGGGTCTCGTTGAAGGTGTCACCACGGAGCAGTTTGCTCAGGCCCTCGAGGGAGGCATTCTCATCTTGCGTGTGCTCCTCGATGCTGTAGAATGCAAGCAGATCGGCCCGTTCCTGAGCGATACGCAGCGGCGCCTGGACCGCGAGATACTTCCGCCTAGCTGGGGCGTCGTCTACGTGGAGTACGCACTGGCAATAGTGTTGCTTTTCTGGGTCATACTCGCCAGAGTCACGTCGTTTGTTTTTCTGCGCCCTCATAAGATATACCACGACAAGGTATCCCGGAGATGGTTCCGGTTCAAGTATTGCTACCATGTATCGGTCAAGTTGCGCAAGGCGTCCGTTGGCCGCCGTTTCCACGCTCATAGGGTGCAGAGACACGTTTGGAATGTTTTGGCGTTCTTCGACGGAGTGTTGCTGTTGAACACCGTGATGACCGCGGTGCTCTTCACAGGCGGTGTCATGCTTCTGTTGCTGGATGCCTCCCTCAACCCAACATGGCAGTGGGCGAACGCTGGGGCTGGCCTGTTGATTACCTCCTCGATGTTGGGCTTTGCAGGCGCATGGAAAGAGTTGGGCGCCTGGCGAAACAAGGCGCTTCGTGTCGCTGGCGTGCTTGCTTTGGCAACTGCGACGGGGTGCCTCGCTTATTCCGCGACCGACACTGCCTTCCGGCAGCTGGAGTGCATTGAGAAGGTTGGTTACGACCCTACGCGTGTGGGGCCCACCGAGCAGATGGCGTTCGAGATGACCCGCGCGGCGACTGAGTCGGCGAATGGATGGACTTTGGACGTAACAGGTCAAGGCCTGTCCGAAGGTGACGGGCTGGCCCTCATCAAGGGGTTGGACAGTTGCCCTCCAGCTGAGGGCGATCCGCTCGATGCCCAGTCGCTGGGCGCGACCTCGTTCGGCCGCCGGCACCCGTTTCAGACTGCACTTGGAAGCGGGACTTTCGGCCTTTGTTGGTGCCCTGTCAGTAGCGGGTGCCAGCACGCCGAGGATTACAATATTTTCGCTGGCCATTTGTATGTTGACCAGCATGTGGACAGGTTTGATACCTGCACGCTGGAGGTGCTTGCAGGGATGTCCCAGGGCGGCTTGGCCATAACAGTTATTATCCCTTTCTGTTTACTCCGCATAGTGCTGGGCACTGCAACCCTGTTACACTGCGTGCACTCTGCGCACATCACGGACCGCCAGCGCCTGGTAGCACAAACGGTGGGCGGTGAGAACAGTACAAACCTGGACGATTTCAAGGGGACTCGGTCTAAGCCAGATCTTAGACGGCTCAAGCCGTGGTGGTTGCGGCTCAAGTGGTTCCATTGGGTGCTTGCATTCTGCGTGCTCGCCTCGTGGGCCAGCGGAATCGTTTTCTTGCTCGTCATCTCGCAAGAGCCCGACACCCAGTGCTACGCGATTCGTGGATGCAGTGCTGAGGCACCGCCAGCGATTGCAGAGACTCCCACCCTGCAGTCTTGCCCGACGTGCTGCAACCTCCAGGAGGCCACCTGCGGGAAGCGCGTCGACCAGGCGGCTTTCGCCACGGTCCACAATGCCATGTCTTCGAAGGAACTGCAGTGGAATTTCCCCAACAATTTGGCCGATTGGCGCAAATCTCTGTCTGCTGGCGTTAGGGGACTCATGTTTGATCTGCATTATCGTTGGCCCCCGAACGCAAGCAGCGATGACCTGGCCGGACCAGGCGCGGTGTATCTCTGTCACGGCTACTGTGGCTTTGGTAATTCCAAGTTTGTTGATGCGTTGTCTGTTGTGAAGGAGTTCTTGGATGATAATCCACGTGAGTTGGTCGTCTTCATCCTGGAACAGTACGTGGCCTCTTACGACGTGATCAAGGAATTGAGCATATCTGGACTTATGGCGTACTGTTGTTATGGCCATCCAGATGTGTCCCAACCCTGGCCGACTGTAGAATCGCTGATCAATGGCCGCAAGCGCTTGCTGCTGTTTTCTAACAGGGCCGTAGACTACAAAGGTCGGGATCATAACGGCGATACACTAACACAACATGATTTCGGTGTTGATTTTGTTGCGACCACGAGCGTGAATTGGTGGCATACGACTAGAGAATATATGGCGACAACGGCGTACGCATACACGAATGAGACCACGATGACAGACGATTGTTCGCTAGACAGAGTTGAGACCGAATTCGCGATCACGGATTTTTCTGAGACTTCCCAGTCTCCCGATTCATTAGGAGGTGCCGCTTATCGCCTTATCGTTGCCAACCACTTCATTTCAAATCCATTGCCTTGTGAGGCCTGTGCGGCAAGCGCCAACCAGAATGCGAGCCTGAAGAATCGAATGTTGTCTTGCAGCGATCGGTGGGGCCATCAGGTGAATTTCCCTACCGTTGACTTCTGGTCCTTGGGTGACATTGTTGCAGTCTGCGGGCATTTGAATCAGAAAAGTTGAATACAAGTCTGAAGCTGCCGTTCGTGACCTTTGTCGGACGTGCGCGATCGTATCCAGCCGTGCATCTGAGCCAGTTGCAGGATGTGGATTTGTCTTGTTTCCCTTGTTCTGGTTGCGTGGTTTATGAGGAGAGCTCTGTGATCCCATAAACGCTTCACCGAGCTCGTCTTGAGGTGTTCGCTCCCCTCCCTCCCCGTCCAAAAGTTGAGCTGAAACTAAACACAAGTCGTGTTTTTACCTAACAGCGAAGACTGATAGGTTTCTAATAGGCTAAAAAGAGAGCAGCACATTACTTCAACATTACTTCAACATTACTCCACAGGGGGGTCTGGGCAGCCGTTGGGGGCAGTTGGGTGGCAGTTGGGGGGCCGTTGGGGTTTGCCGGGGGGGATCGTTTTTCGCATACAGTCACACACTTCGTGCTTTTCGATTTCCCAGAACTCCATTCCCGGGCCACATTTTGGAAGCCCGGAGCTAACTGTAGGCCACTTCGTGCTCTTCGATTTCCCAGAACTCCATTCCCGGGCCACATTTTGGATGCCCGGAGCCAACTGTAGGCCACTTCGTGCTCTTCGATTCCCAGAACTCCATTCCCGGGCCACATTTTGGATGCCCGGAGCCAACTGTAGGCCACTTCGTGCTCTTCGAGTTCCCAGAACTCCATTCCCGGGCCACATTTTGGATGCCCGGAGCCAACTGTAGGCCACTTCGTGCTCTTCAGTTCCCAGAACTCCATTCCTGGGCATGATTTTGAATGCCCGGAGCCAACTGTAGGCCACTTCGTGTTCTTCGAGTTCCCAGAACTCCATTCCCGGGCCACATTTTGAATGCTGAGGCAGGCTGATGCTGAGGCTGAGGCAGGCTGAGGCTGAGGCAGGCTGAGGCTGAGGCCGAGGCTGAAGGCAGACTGAGGCTGAGGCTGAAGCAGGCTGAGGCTGAGGCTGAGGCAGGCTGAGGCTGAGGCTGAGGCTGAGGCTGATGCTGAGGCAGGCTGAGGCTGAGGCTGAGGCTGATGCAGGCTGAGGCTGAGGCAGGCTGAGGCTGAGGCCGAAGGCTGAAGGCAGACTGAGGCTTTGGCTGAAGCAGGCTGAGGCTGAGGCTGAGGCTGAGGCTGAGGCTGAGGCTGAGGCTGAGGCAGGCTGAGGCTGAGGCTGAGGCTGAGGCTGAGGCTGATGCAGGCTGAGGCTGAGGCAGGCTGAGGCTGAGGCCGAGGCTGAAGGCAGACTGAGGCTGAGGCTGAAGCAGGCTGAGGCTGAGGCTGAGGCAGGCTGAGGCTGAGGCTGAGGCAGGCTGATGCTGAGGCAGGCTGAGGCTGAGGCTGAGGCTGATGCAGGCTGAGGCTGAGGCAGGCTGAGGCTGAGGCCGAGGCCGACGGCAGACTGAGGCTGAGGCTGAAGCAGGCTGAGGCTGAGGCAGAGGCAGGCTGAGGCTGAGGCTGAGGCTGAGGCAGGCTGATGCTGAGGCAGGCTGAGGCTGAGGCTGAGGCTGATGCAGGCTGAGGCTGAGGCAGGCTGAGGCTGAGGCCGAGGCTGAAGGCAGACTGAGGCTGAGGCTGAAGCAGGCTGAGGCTGAGGCTGAGGCAGGCTGAGGCTGAGGCTGAGGCAGGCTGATGCTGAGGCAGGCTGAGGCTGAGGCTGAGGCTGATGCAGGCTGAGGCTGAGGCAGGCTGAGGCTGAGGCCGAGGCTGAAGGCAGACTGAGGCTGAGGCTGAAGCAGGCTGAGGCTGAGGCAGAGGCAGGCTGAGGCTGAGGCAGGCTGATGCTGAGGCAGGCTGAGGCTGAGGCTGATGCAGGCTGAGGCTGAGGCAGGCTGAGGCTGAGGCGAGGCTGAAGGCAGACTGAGGCTGAGGCTGAAGCAGGCTGAGGCTGAGGCTGAGGCAGGCTGAGGCTGAGGCTGAGGCAGGCTGAGGGCTGAGGCTGAGGCTGAGGCAGGCTGAGGCCGAGGCTGCAGGCAGACTGAGGCTGAGGCTGAAGCAGGCTGAGGCTGAGGCTGAGGCAGGCTGAGGCTGAGGCTGAGGCTGAGGCAGGCTGATGCTGAGGCAGGCTGAGGCTGAGGCTGAGGCTGATGCAGGCTGAGGCTGAGGCAGGCTGAGGCTGAGGCCTAGGCCGAGGCTGAGGCTGAGGCTGAAGGGCTGAGGCTGAGGCAGAGGCAGGCTGAGGCTGAGGCTGAGGCAGGCTGATGCTGAGGCAGGCTGAGGCTGAGGCTGAGGCAGGCTGAGGCTGAGGCAGGCTGAGGCTGAGGCTGAGGCTGAAGGCAGACTGAGGCTGAGGCTGAAGCAGGCTGAGGCTGAGGCTGAGGCAGGCTGAGGCTGAGGCAGGCTGAGGCTGAGGCTGAGGCAGGCTGAGGCTGAGGCTGTGACTGCGACTGCCGTTGCCACTGCGACTGTCATCGCGAATGCGACTACGACTGCGAGAACAGCAGAATTCTACAACTGGATTCTCATCCGAATCTTAAGGGGAATGCTTCCAGATATGCTCCTACACATCGATGTTAGGTTGCTTTGCCGGGATAATTGTTCCCGATGCGAAGGCGTTGCGCATGCGCAGACGCAGGCCGATTGAAATTGAAAGAAACAATTTTCAATAGGCCGGGTGCCAACCCCCGCTCGAGCAATTTGTTAGCACCACCGGCACCCGGAACCCAATATTGAGATGTTCAACTTTGGATTGGGAGCAAAATCCCAAATTCCAAACTGAAAAATACCAGAGGCGGAGTTGCCAAACTCAATATTGCAATCTTATTGATCCTTGGGTATTGCGGGACATTCCTGGGCATGGGCATGATTGGTTGTCCAACCTCTTTGTTCTCACACCTCACCTCAGTGAAGAAATGTACCTTCGTTTTGCTAGTTATGTAATGTTTTTTTTCGCCCACAATGCTATTAGAAAGGATTCCCGCGTCAGCCTCCCACAGTTGCTTGAAGGAAGAATTCGAGTCAACTGTCGCCGCCACCCCACCGTTCAGGCAGCTTGGAACCAGGATCCTTGACTGTGCCGTTGCAGCGTTTATCTGATGTGGTGGATGCCACATGGCTGCGCAAAACAAAGTCGGCTAAATTATGTCCCGGCCTGTGCTGGTAGACCCTCAAGTTTTCTTTGATTGCTTCCCGACAGAGGGAAACGTGCTGATCTTGTCACCAGCAGGGATTTGTGGGGTATGCTGCCGTCTTGACAGCGTGCGCGCGCAGTGCAGTAGAGATTGCGATCGCCTCCCTGCTGCAACAGACACTGATGTATCACGACAGCCATCCAGACAAAGTTGGGTAAATTCTTTACGCTTCGCGTATCCCCACCAGCCCATCTCACAGCAGCAACTCTTGCGAAGCATGCCGACAGTCGTGTTTTTCAGGCGTGTGTCCGCTTGGCCCCGCATATCTCCCCTGTTCCTCCTTCTTCCCGCCTCCTTGTACATCCTCCTTGTGGGGGGGGCGGGAGAAGGACGAGGCGGAGGAGGAGGGAGAGAAAGCGCTCCTCGTGGTTTGAGTCGTTTGGGGTTCCTCGTCCTGGTGTGAGTCGTTCGGGCCCTTCTTCCTGGTGTGAGTCGTTCGGGCTCTTCGTGGTGTGAGTCGTTCGGGCTCTGCGTCCTGGTGTGAGTCGTTCGGGCTTCTCGTGGTGTGAGTTGTTCGGGCCCCTCGTCCTGGTGTGAGTCGTTCGGGCCCCTCCTCCTGGTGTGACTCGTTCCGGCTCCTCGTGGTGTGAGTCGTTCGGGGCCCGCGTCGTGGTGTGAGTCGTTCGGGCTCCTCGTGGTGTGAGTCGTTCGGGCGCCTCGTCCTGGTGTGAGTCGTTCGGGCCCCTCCTTGTGGTGTGAGTCGTTCGGGCTCTTCGTGGTGTGAGTCGTTCGGGCCCCTCGTCCTGGTGTGAGTCGTTCGGGCTCCTCGTGGGGCCTCTTGGGGGCCTCTTGGAGCCTCTTGGGGCCTCTTGGGGGCCTCTTGGGGGCCTCTTGGGGGCGTCTTGGGGGCCTCTTGGGGCCTCTTGGGGCCTCTTGGGGGCCTCTTGGGGGCCTCTTGGGGGCCTCTTGGGGCCTATTGGGGGCCTCTTGGGGGCCTCTTGGAGGCCTCCTGGGAGCCTCCTGGGGGCCTCTTGGGGCCATCTTGGAGCCTCTTGCGACCTCCTCAGAAGCGCAAATGAGCGCTGCCCCCTGAGAAGGACAAAATCAGCCCAAAACCTTTTCGTAAAATCAATGATTTTGCTAAGAAGGACGAGGAACGCGGCCCCCTGGGAGGCCAAAATGGGCCCAAAATCGTAGTAAAATCAATGTTTTTTACTTCAGCGACGAGTTCAGGGACCAAACTCCCTCCCCCCCCTCGGGGCCAGAATCCTCGTGAGGGTCGTCGTTTTTTGGCCCTCCCAGGAGTCGAAAAAGACCCCTCCAACGACCCGCGGGGCGCCCTCTCCAGGCCCAGGGGGAGGGGGTAGGGGGAGGGGTAAACCCATCCCCGAAGGGGAAGAAGGGGGGTTGAGGACAGAGAGAGCTCTCTAAACCACTCACGCCCAAAGGGCTGGTGGGATTAGGTTTCCGGCCTGTGCTGGTCGACCATCAAGTTTTTCTTCGATTGTTTCCTGGCAGACGGATACGTGCTGAGCTTGCCACCGGCGGGGGTTCTCGGGGTGTGCGGGCGTTTTGACTGCGGGCGCGCGGAGTGCAGTAGAGACTCGGCGACATGGGTGCACCCAGAGTCGCGGTGCGATCGCCTCCCTGCTGCAACAGACACTGATGTAGCACGACAGCCATCCAGGCAAAGCTGGGTAAGTTAGTTTCTGGCCTATGCTGTTGAACAAATATCATGGCGAAGGACCCAACCATATGCAGTTGTGGGTTCCCCACTTGTGAATAACTTCTTCGGTGAAGCTCCTCATGAGGCCACGAAGCGCTGCACTGGGTCGGGGGGAAAGCATGTCCGTGGAGCTCCGTATGAAGCCACGAAACGCTGTACTGGGTGGGCGAAAATGCAAAATTGGGTGTGTGGGGCGCATGCGGGCGGTCCCACTGGGGGCTTCGGC